CAATCGAACCAAGATAGATAATGATAATTGATATTTTATGGCTTGCGTGGTAAAATACTATAAAAAATAACGATAATAATACTAATATAGTTTGTAAGAGTTGAAATGGATTTTGTGTGCATAGCAATTTATAATAGACAGTGTAATATAATGATATCAATCCGTTATGTAATATTTCTTAAAGCTATAGAAAAAAATAATATGTTTCGTGGTAATCATCTCTTGTCCTCTTGTCATCCCGTCGCCAATCCTTAGTATAGTTAAAAATTAAGATAAAAACGTCACAGATTGTAAAAATCACCATTTTCACGAACGCACATAATATATATTATCAAAAGATGAGATTTTTGTTTTAAATGTTTATTTAATATTACAATTTTATAGGTATTCATGAACAACGATATTAAACGAAACACACACACATATTATATAGACATAATGTTGCATTAACATACTAACAAAATTTAAAATGTCATTTTCGTGCATTATTCTCTCTAAGAGTTTCAACTATAATACATATTATAAAATATAAATGTAAAATGTAAGTGTAAGTTTGCTAACATTAAAGTTTAACCTTGCGTGACCGTGTGAGCACTACCATAATGTATTTAATATTATGAAAAGTAAATCTTTTTATATTAAACATGTTAATAATTAATATACAGTATACACCTATAAATATTACGATAACCTGATTTATTGAATAATATCGATGATTAAATGCAATTCAAACCTTTAACCATAATATAATGAATTTAGAAAAAAATAATATATTATAGATCTATAGTGTGCGTATTAAAATCGTATCGGCCGACTTTATAAACGGATTGGGATGTTGAAAAAAAAAATAAGACTTCCCGTCGACGAAACCTCGCACAATTGTCACGCGTGAGTGCACATGCCACATAATATTGCGCCTAGGTAACGGATACCTATATATAATAATACCATTACAGTATACCTTAGCATCTTTATCCTGTGCAATTGTTACAGATCAGTTGAATGCACTCTTGATGCAATTGCGTGACGCATTTTCCTAATCGTCACGTCGTCGGAAATGTATAATAATTGAACAATTGTTTTACGTTATCGCTGCAACGTGCAGTAATAAAATGCGCGCAACGATAATAATTGCTATACATCACAGGCGACGAGCCTAATTAAGCACTCAACTTGAATATAACATGTTATACGTCAGATATATTTAGATCTACGCGTGCACACATCCATTATGCAACTACCTCCAATGTTTATAGGTATATACGCGACGTCGGAAATCTACCTTCCTGGTCCCAAGCGATTCTATGGTTACTACGAGACAATAACCTGTGTGTAAACAACATCACAATCCATATATCTAACCTTAACCATCGCACACTGTGCTGGATTGAGACAGAAATTTTCTCGAGCGTATCATATAGTTTAGCTGTTTAATCAGTGGAAAATAGAAATAATTTAGTCAATTTTAAGGATGTCAGAACCGATATTTATTTAAGCGCAAAATGCATGCAATTTTTAATAACGTGGCATGGTGACCATACAGAAAAATAAAATAAAATCATTTCAGTGATATGTGGCGAAGTTACAGGAAAAACAATCGTGTCTTGTAAAATAATCAGACTTTTTATCAATAATTTTTTATTTTTTTTTTTTTTGTTTTAAGTGAAAGAAGAAATATTGTTTAGGTAACAATAGACTCTAAACCTTCAATAACAGTAGAAAAACGTTTCAAAATACTCAAAAATGTGTGTTACATAAACATTTACTATAACTTAAGAAAATAAAGTATTTTTGTTTTTTTTAAATCGAAATTCAATTTTACCTAAATAAAGTTTTAAAAAAATTATCATCAAAATCTAACTATTTTTTGAGATAAAAGATTTTTTTCTGTAAGGTATATTTTTGTACAAAAAATGTGTCAACTCCGAAACAATTAAAATAAATTATTTATATACCACCTCTGACGTTTTATAAAATTTATCGCTATTATAGGTATAACAAAATCGGTTAGAATAGAATATTGCTTTTTATAAACATTAATCTATTACAATGATCTTAACTTAAGACTTAAGATCTTAAGATCCTTAATAATTTCTTATTTCAGTTATCTACTTATAGTTTTAATTTAAGGTAAAAAGCGTTTATTACTATATTAGCGTTCCGTATTTTTTTTTTTTTTTTTATAAAAATGTTCAATTACAAACGATGTCAAAAAGTAATTTAACTATCAACGATTATATTATCTAATCAACAGAATAAGAAAAATAGAATTAAACCTAATTATTTTAATAGCCTTCACATGAAAAACACTTGATTGTATTAATTATATAGATTTCCCAATATTTTGATTTGTAATTTGATTGCTTTTTTAAATGAATGGTATATTACTATGAAATTACTCGGATAAGTAAAAATGAAATTAAATACTTCTTTTATAACCAGGGAATATATTAAAAACATATTGAACCAATAAAATATATTATGCATTATGGGTATCTGTATTGTAAATATATTGTATACCAGGGAAACGGAACTCATAAATCCGATTTATAAACATGTGTGAAAGCCAGTAAACAATAAAAGATAATTTATTACAAGTTTAATTACGACGCGATGTAGTTTAATATAATTTATAATAATATGCATAGGTACCGAAATCATTATTATTTATAAGTTATAATGATATAAATGTTACTAAATGATATAAATTAAATGTGCGTTTAGCACGATGTCGGAAAACTTTCGCGAGAAAACAAAGTTTTCAACAGTATAGCGCAGTGATATAAACTTGTAATATTTCAGATCCAATAATAAATTAATACTAGACCAATTTTAATAATATAAGGTAAGAGCTTCCTTTTTTTTTTTAACTTTTGTTTTTATTAAAAGTGATTGTGATAAGTGATAACTGAGATATATTTAACAATTTTACGCCTAATAAATAGTAATATAACAGCACCTCTAAATCGTTTTTATTGATTCAGAGCACACCACCGTGTACTTCAGTATTTTACTATGCAGTGCGTAATAATTATATTGTAAATTTGTAAAATGTCGATGTTTGTTGAAATTAATACTTCTAAAATAACATTAATACTGAGGAAAGGAGATCACGTGTTCAAATTATCGATAATACATTTATTTATACGATTTTCCCGAAAATATCATCACGCCAACACTTTATTACCATCATTATTATTATCATGAATTAAATATTAAATTAACATAATATAATATATGATATTATACACTCAATTTGTAATGTTATTATTATATCTTTTCGTAGTACAACACTACATAAATAACAATTATTTTTTACGGATATTGAGGTCGTTAAAGATAACTAAAAATTGCGCACGTTATCGACTTATTGATTTTACTGAACTGTCTTCGATGGAGTTAATTTTCATTCTGTCTCGATGTAATTATTGATTCGAGGAATGAAGAATATAACATAACATACCATAACATACAAAAACATTAAATAAATCGATGGTGATAAAGAAACCGTGGCAATTAAAATGTATTCAATTTGTGTAGTTTATTTAAAAGTCATATAGAATCACGTATTTGAATTAGTTCGATACCAGATAATTTATTTTATATTTTAGTATCTAGTTTCACATCTATTTTCAGTTTACTTTTATAATAATTAACTATCATTATTTTTTTCTTGAAACTTTGAATATTTACTATCTTAAATCAAAATGTTTGTATTGTAATGAATCATAATTAAATATTTTGTTTATTTATATAAAACACATTATTTGAAATTAAAGGAATAAAAAATAAATTTAATTGTGCCTGAAAACACGAATGATGCTGTAGGAAAATTTCAGCGTGACAAAATATAATTTTAACGACTTTTATGACAATTAAATACAGCAAATCTGATCATTACTTGACGAGCTAAAATAATCATTAAATAAGTACCTATATATTATATTGCCTATTGAATATTACAATGTAGGTAATGAATATTATAAGTAATACAATTTTGACAATTATGAGAAATGTTACGAAATTATATTAAAATGTGTACCTGCGATTTTTTAATTGAATAATTTTCGTGCAATTATGGTTTGAATATAATATTATTATTTATTAACTTTCAATTTTCATGTTATACTTAAATAATAAAAAATATTTATTTTTATATTTAAATTTATTATTGTGAAGTGTTAAAATGTATAGGTAGGTGTATAAAACGGTTTACGTTTTTAATCGCTTCAATAATTTCATTATAAATACCGTTGAAAATCAAATGTAAATCCAACTCGAGTTGTCAAATTAAAGTGTCATTAGCGTTCAACTTGTGTGGTAAAACGTTTAGGATAATTTAATTCCATCTATAGAAATATTTAATGATGTTGGTACTCGTCGGACGTATTATTATAATGTTTACCTCATACTCTCCCACTCGAAACGAAAATGTACAAAATTAAATATACATTTATACTCATTATATAAAAAATAAATTTAAAAAATGGAAAAATAAAAATGTTTTTTAGTTATTATATTTTAAAACTTTGACGTGTAAAATACGAGAACAAGATGTTAAAAATGTTATTCAATTGTTACTTTATATCAATTAAGTAAATAATAAGTTCCTATCTATTCAAATTAAATTAATTTAAATAGACTTGAACATTTTGGCGTTTTGAAAATTAAACCATATAGGAACTAGCAAAACTGCTAGGAAATATATTTGGATAGATTAGATTCAAATACCTAATTTTTGTCTGCTGGAGGTGTTAAGGCTGTTTTTACATGCAAAATGTATTCGCGTCATACTAGTATACTACACGGGGTTTACAAGGTCCTTAAAGTTTGATTTGATCCATTAGTGTTTTATTCAAACACTGATCATTTAATAATTAACTATAATACATGCAATGTTATACACTAAATTCTTAGGTAACGTATTGTATATTATGCAGCTGATCAATAGCGATGTAAAAATAAAGAGTTCAACATTTAATAAAATATTGTTTACTGACCTGCCCGTTTTCGTGATGATCATCTCGGTACCGAGCTCGTTGAATTTGTCCCACAGATCTTTGGTCTCCAACCTGCAGCTGACGTGCTGCAACTCTTCCGAGTTGCACCGTTCCTCGAGCACCGGATTTGTTGTTGCGGTGGCAGCCACGACCGATGGCGGTGGCGGGCTGGATGTAGACGAAGATATCACTATTTCGTCGGCCGGCGAATCCCGGGACGACCGGATCGTGACCATCGTGTCGCTGCTCAGACGCCGTTTTCTCAATGGTTTCCCGTCTGCAAAATCCGGCACGAGAAATAAAAACAAAAAAACAAAAAAAAACATTTTCATTTCCTCGTTTACCGCACATGCAAAACATGCCTTTTCACACATATATTTTATATTGAATTTGAGCCCTGTGGGACCAAACCAACTAACATCTAACCATCCCTCCCTTTTCCTCACAAGTACCACTATTGATGAAAAAATTGATAGGTATAAGAGAAAATATCAATTTAGTTGTATTTATAACACAAAACAAAATGTATAAATGAATCCGAATGTATTTGTACGTTAATTTAAGAAAACATGATTAGATACTAATATTAATTAGTATTGTACCGATATTCAATTAATTGTTTAATGACGAACTCCGTATATAAGAGAGTAAAATATTTTAGGTTTTAAGATCAAAAAATCTAAATTTAACAAAATAATCGGGTGAATAGTTTAGCCGTCAATGAAGAAAAACTTATGAAATTCTAAGTTAATTATGTGTATTGATGAAATTGATTATATTTTATAAGACCGTAGTTTAATCAACGTTTACATTTAGGCAAAAAGTGCTATTGAAATTTAAAATACTCATATAGTCTAATATTTTTTAAGTTAACACAATTATTAATCATCTATCCTATTACATCGTAATAAATATAAAATTTATTCTACCGATTAAGCAAATTCAAAGTTATATTTACGAAATTCAATGATCCGTGTATCTAATTCAAAAAAAACATGCTCTTCGTGAATCATAAACCTATTACTATTACTCGTAATAAACTATTATGAAGTCAGTTTAAAGATAAATGTGACCCCCCCCCCTCCCAAGGAATAGTAACTTGTAAATATATTGACTATTTAAAAAACACATACAAATTTTATTATTCAAAACCCAATTTATTATTATTATTATCATTACATTTTTTTATACAAAAGTAAATAACGATTATTGTATTTAATACTATAAGTTTAATAAAAACTTATATTTATTATACATTAACGAGCGTGTTGGCCATTGGTTAATTTTTTTTTATTAATTGTTCAACACGTTTTCGTTAAAAATGTTAACTTACTATATAACACTATAATAATATATAAGCCACGAAAAAGAATAATGAAATGCACACTGTTCATATAATGATATGACGTGGTATGTACTTGTATATTAATTTGTATTTCAAACAATAGGTAGGTTTAGTAGATGGGTTATGTGAGAGACATATATAAATTTAAATAAAACCCATATACGACATATATAAGTAATGGTATTGTTATTTTCTTTTTCGAGACGCTTACAATTTTTGTTCAGAATATTCAGATATCATAATATATATTATTATAGTCTGTACATTATCTATACCATTGACGGGCGACAGTAAAAAAGATTATGAAAGTGAATCGATAGAATGATATTATATTATGCGAGCAGGTTATATTATACAATCTACGAGTAGTCTAAAATCTATAAAGTCTATATACAAATATCATAAAAATCTTTGCAACTATAATTATTATTGGTGACTATAAAGTCGTCGTGACACAATGCACACAAATCGATCGGTAAAATCATCGTCGCGTCAACTTTAAACCATAGCGATATGCGCAAGCTATATCGTTAAATTCCTGCAATAGTCAACTGCAGTGCGTAAGAAGTACACAATATTGTTTTAACCGTGAGAGGTGTGTATCATGTGTTGTATACATCATATAATGTATATATATATATATAATATACTACCTGTGGTATAATTTGATATGCTATCAAAACAAAACACACTTAAATGTGTCATGTCATACGAATCGATACCGAAACGTTTTATCTATATACCTATACGATTGTTGTTTACGAGCGGACGGTGGAAATATTATAATATTATGTTATCACTTATCGCGGCGTTGGAGGAGTCACCGAACGCGCGTGCTAAGCGTTGCAGCACTGTTTGTAATTGTTGTTGAAATGGAACTCGCGGGCGTGCAAACACGATAAGAAAAACGAAAATTAAACTTTCCCACGGTCGATCTACTCGAAGACGACTCGCTTGCGTACGCAAGGATCAAGGACACACCTATTGTTCGAGTACAATATTAATAATGATTATAATATACGATAATTAAACATCCTGTGCGTACGTAGGCAATAAGTGGTAAGTACCTATACGTCGTATGATATCGCACTTTATATTATTATTATTTATTATTTATTATACGTAGTTATAATGCGACCACATATTATATCGTCGCGTCCTCACCTTCGTCGTCGTCAGTGGCGGCGGCGGCAACGGTCTGATGGTGACGGCGGCGGTGGTGGTTGTGATGGTGGTGCACGTGGTGACGGCGCTGGTCCCTGTCGTCACCGTCGTCCGGCGGCGACGGTGTGGACAGCGACGACGACGACGACTGTTCGTCGGCGGCGGCGGTGGCGGCGGCCGTGGTGGTGGCCGAGGCGGGCCGCTTTCCCGCGATCGCGGCAGCCGCCGCTACGGCCGCGGCCGCGGCCACTGCGCCCTGGTCGCGCCGGGCCAGTATGGCGGCCACCGAGAAGTCCGTGGCGCACGGCCGCAGAGTAAAGTTCTGTTCCATCGCCGGCACCATATACCTACCTACGCGCCGGACGCCGCCGAAACGCAACGTCTGCGACGGTCCTTCCGCCTACACTCCTCCTAACGGCCGCGCGCGTGAACTGCAGTTACCGAATCGGACCGATAGCGCGGTAAGCGGTGTTCGAACACGACGGCGCGATAATGGAATGATGATGATGATGATGATGATGATGATTGTTATTATCGTCCGCGGAAAACCACTGACGACAGCGCCGCACGCTATTGGATCGCTCGTGTCGGTGGGTAGGTATATTGTCAACGATTATTGTTACGGTAGGTACCACACATCGTTGTTGTTCTGTTCTCGTCGGCGTTATTACGACGGAATAATATTATTATATTATTGTTTCGCTATCGTTTTCGCAATACCGTACACGAATGATTGTAATAATATTATCGTCGACGTACGTATTGTATGCCTACACTGACTTTCGTCGCGGGACTAGCACAGTAGCATCATAATATTATGATATCACAACGTTTTATTTTTTTATTATTATTTTTTTTTTTTTTTAAATATTTTACAACAAGTATAATAATATTATCTAACGATATAACGTTGGAATATTTTCGGCGCGTGAGCGGGCGGGCGGGCGGGCGCGCGTAGTTTGATGAAACGCGTGTTATGCGACCGACGGACGATAAAAACGGACGCACACGCGCCGCGGGTGACAATCGACGAACCGGCGACCGGTCTCGTGTATGAGTGAGCCGGCCGTCGCCGTCGTCCGCAGTCGCAATCGTCGTCGTCGTCGTCGTCGGCGGCGGCGGCGGCGGCGTGCGTCGTACGTTACGCTCGGTGCGTGTTCGTAAACGCGCTCGTGCGTGTGTGTGTATTTTTGTGTGTGCGCAGTTGTGTGTGTGTGTGTGTATTTTTGTGTGTGCGCAGATGTGTGTGTGTGTGTAATTGTCAGTGTGCTATTGTGTGTGTGTGTGTGTGTGCGGTTCCCCACTCCGCCGCCGGTCGGGGCACAATGGGTTTTTCTGTTACGCCCCGGACCACTCCTCCGGGGGCCGTAAACTGCGGTGAATGGGCGGCGCGAAAAATCCACCACATCGTCCTCCTCCTCCTCATCCTCCTCCACGACAACGGCCACCGCCGCCTCGGCCGCCGGATCGACGTCGTCCACGGGACGACCCGCAGACCGTTCGAGACACTAACACGTCGCGCACGCCGCCGCCCGCGGTCGGCAATAACATCGATCAAACGATTATCAAACCGCAATGAAAGCGATTATTATATGAATTATTATTGCTGTTGTTGTGTGCACGGTGACGCGCAGTAGCGTCGATAACAAAAATAACACATCGCCGTCACTGAACACATCACTACCGTTTAATGGATAGGCACGGTGCATGGTATTTTACGGGCGCCGGTCGAGTGTTCCTACGTGTCACGCTGCACACTGCACCACGACTGTAACTCCCTAGGAATGTCCGCTTTCGTTAAAATTATTTCAGAAATAATTCAAAACGTATATATACATTATAATATTATATTTAATATATTATGTATATTTTATGTCATATAGTCCATAACAGTTTATAATCTGTACGCGAGTGTCGCAAGGATGATGTTTTTGTTTATTTTTTTTTTTTTTTTTTTTTTAATAAATTCTACAACAGATCTAATAAAACACTCTGTATAGGAAATCCTCAGCTTAGCAGTCCTTTTTTTTTCTCAGAGTTTTAAGCGTCAATATTGGTTTCTGAGAAGCATCCTAAACGGGCGAGACCTTTTTCGACCAAAAGTTTAATATTTACTCAACACTCTTCGTGTTATTGATATAGAAAAAGTATTAAAAATATAAGTTCTATGTACAAATAAAAATACATACCTTTAGTAATTATAATTTATTGTTGTAGTTTATTATTTGTTTGGTGGTCGTCGAGTTTCACTGTGGCGGCAGCGGTTTACGGGTATTTTATGATAATACTCATATTTGTACTAATTTTTTATAGGTTATAATATAAGTAACATTAGAGTTTTTAAACGTGGAAAACACTTAAAGTTATAGTACATGCTTAGTAACCGTTGTAGATACTTATTCAATAATTATTGACAAAAATTATAATCTTGTATAATTTTATTTTTATAAAGGTTATTATATATTTTTTATAAAACTTATATTTTTAATATTTTGTATTTGTATAATATAATGTAAATACTAAATATTACATTTTTTTTTGGTTTAGCTGAGAACAAGTTCTTCAATAATTATTATATGAACATATAATTGGTGTCAATATTAAATATACTACTATACTAGCATTCATAGTTTCATATACTGCAGATGTAGTTTTTATATTTTATGAGACTTTATATTTAGTCCATATTATATCATAATAATATGCTAATAATATAAACGGTATCAACTAGGTACATATTTATCTAACATAATGTTCCATAAAATGGTAGCTAATTTAAATTAAATTTATTAAGCTTATCATTTCTGCGTATATTATCATATTTAAATAATTATTAGGTACTTAAAATTTAAATGTAATAACTAAATAATATTTATTATTCTAAGAAGATTAACTATTCTCATTGCTTAAGTTTTTACGTTTCTGTTAACAGTTATATCAAGTATTTATATATATATATATATATATCTAACGACGCAATCAAAAACAATTCTAAAAAATCATATCAATTTTTTTTTTTATGTTTAGTGTATAGTATATATTATGTCATAATAATTGGCACAATAAAAACAACTACAATAATTATAATAATTACAATTTATTGATTTCTATGAATATGTACCTATTTATTTAGTCTATTTTTTTTATAATATATCTATAAAATTTTAGATAAAATATTATTATGTGTATCATCTTCCAAAGTTCTCAATCACTTATAGATCCACTACAAAGTAGTTAAACATATCTACTTATAAATAGGTATTTTTCCCCGTCTGCCAAAAATGTACTTATTTTTACTCAAAAAATAAGGAATAGTGGAATAGCTTCACGCCATAAAATGGCGCTGGACAATAATGTATATAACTTATTTAAATACCCTTATAAATGCGTGGTAATTGGCTTACTTAATTTCAATAAGCCATAAAATAAATAATTTTTTAACCTTCTATATACATAGCTATATGAACTATACGTCATTATTAATATAAGTAAAGCATACCTATTACTTACATTATTTAATAATTTTATACATCAAATATGCACCTATACTTAAATAACCAATACGTTCGTTTCCTAATAATAATAGTTATGTTTATAAGTTTGATGGGTTTTATAACTTTGAGTATATATAACAAATACACACACGCACATACATATAATAAGGTATATGAGATACAGTTATATTGTATAATATAGCGTGACAAAAAGTTTAGTAAGCATTACAAGGTTTGTACGTACCATAGAGCAATATAAAATTACTCTATAATATGCATGTATATAATATAAATACTTGTTTAAACAGTACAGTATATCCATCTATGAGTAGGCATATCAAAACAATAATACAGATTAGGTATCTGATACAAAGCAATATATACAAGTTGATGATTACTATCTAAAATATACTCGAGTTTTAATAATATGGATAAACATGTTTAATAGTAAATATTATGCAAGAAAATAATGAGAAAATAATAACAGCTAAACAAAAACCGTTTTTAAAGTCCACATAATTACTATGATTTATAATATTTCATGTTAAAATAAATTATTTTGAGGAGAAATAAAAGCTTTATTTATTTATTTTTTGTTCGCATAAATTACTCCCAAAAATAATCATTGTTATATTGCTACAAAAAACATGTTTAAGTTAAGGTAATTTTAGAGTTTTAACTGCTTAGATGTATTAACGAAATACCCAGGAAAATAAGGAAAACAGAATGTCATAAAATTACATAAAATCAGTTTTTGAAATTTTTTTTTCTTTGTAACTTAAAAATAAATAATCTTAAAGACTGTATATTTTGCCTGCATATCTTGTACTATTCATTGATACTTCTTTGGTAATTTAATAGTGAATAATATTAAATATTTGTTTCGTTTAATATAATAATTTTATTTATTATAACTTATTTATTAAATTCAACACCTCGAAGGGATAATGAGTTCAGACAAAATTATACAAATAATATAAACTTAAAACTACTACGCTTTACATACACAGAAAAACCATTATCTAAGAAATACTTTTTATGATATTTTTTAATTTAGCTAGTGACTATAGTGAGTCAAAAAAAAAAATCGAAATTTGATAAATTATTGCCATGATGTAAAAGACTATTAGCTACTAAATTATTTGAGCAATGATGAATAAAAGAGGAACATTATTTTTTAAATTAAAGACTGGTACCTTAAAATTAATTTTTTTTAAGATTTAGGGCAGATTAACAGACCATTAATTACCTTATAAATAAAAGCTACATAATTAAATAAGCCTTTCGAAGTTAACGATTCTAATCCAATTTCCCTGACTATAACTTCGAAACCTACATCAGTCTTACATAGCTGCTTAAAAGCCATTACTCTCTTTTTTATAAAAATAAAATTATTTTGATATATATAATTATAATTATAAGTGAAGCATAATCGATAAGCTTGCTTTTAAGTTTAATTAATATTTATATTTAAACATAAGAAATGTTTTATTTCATTATTAACTGTACGTCATAATCGTTACGATACAGTAGAACCCGTTTAAACATTAAATTGTAAAAAACAACAAAACAAGTTAAAAGACACATATTACAGAATGTGTCATGGGCTTCCAGACATTTTTTATTTGACATTTACCTTTCTCTATAAAATACTTTTTTACAAAACCCTGATATAGATCAGAAAATTTATATCACTTTTATTATTCGTATATGAAAGTATTCTCATCATATCTTATCCTATTTTTTACAATTATTTATTCAATTTTTAAAAGTCTGGCGTTTTTCTTTCGTGCTATAAATATGTATCCATCTCTCTCTTAATTATGAAATACTAATATCTCATTAGTCATTATAGTCTTAAATTATCGTCTAATATTAATTATCGAAATATTAATTATTTTTAATTTGTTTTAAAAATTTTTAATACAAAACAACATCCTCATGATCATCATGGCTTTCACACATAAAAATCGAGTATCACAAACCTTAGCTCTATAGATTTTAGGTGCACTAAAACAAAATAGTATAAATCCTCAATAAATAAACGCCCTGCAAATAGATGTAATTTACTCAAATTTTGTAAAGGCTTCTGATCAAATCGATCACTATTTATTGATTTTATAAATTTTACGACTTAACAAATATGGAATTCTCGATCTTCTTCTTAAACTGTATTATAATATTATCCATGTCAACTTATATATGTATGGTTATTCTTGATCATAACTTCAGTTTTTTGTCGTAAAAGAAATACGCTCTCGTATATAATGATATACAACAATATTATATTATTATACTATTATAAATCGCCACTTGAACGAGAATCACCTAACATACAGCTGGCACGCGTTCCCGCTGAGGTTATACTCCGCGCGTATATTATATTATAATATTATTATTATACAATTCAATTCCAATACAACAATGTACGTACTCGAGATCGTGG